ACATCGACATAACAATAGCCCCTGCTATTTTTTTTATTTTTATTTTCAATGTACAGACAGCACTTTTCTACAATTTTATTATATGTATAGACTAGCTGACCCGGCGAACTACGTACCGCCAAAATTATTTTTCTCACCTTTTAAACCTTACCTAGACTCCCACGAACAATTTAAGACCAAAATTAGCCAAATCTGTTCATCCGTTCTCGAGTTTTAGCGAGACTAACGAACAGAAATTCATTTTTATTTATATAGATTACATGAACGCATGTAGGTATATGCATATTTTACTCCTCGATGAAGTGGGCAGAGATGAATAAATTTAATAAATGTCAATTACATAATTTGCATGCAATTTTATTAGTTATATTAGTAGAGTGTAATAAAAAATACCAGTTAATTTCTGTAATAATCAAAACTAAAGTATGAAAAATAAACAACTGTAGTCAGATATGACTAATTATTATTTTCTCCGTATTTCACAATTGTTATTTTATAGTGAGTCATGTGCATACAAATATTTCAGCGTAATTCGTTTCAACAACATTATGTATCTACATAAATAGGTACTTGATAATTGATTGGCATTTGCAATTCAAATGTGATCATTTTGCACTCTCTATTAATAATACGATGTCGTCTGACCAAATATCAGCCAGGTTACCTCAAATCATCAAATCATCAACTTTGGTAGTTTATATCGCTACAAAAATGCCTGAAGCCATGAAGAGATCGGTTACCCATTTAAATGTCGAAGAAAAACAATGGGAATTTTAAATAAAGAACCTTTGTTTCGACCAATGGAAGCCAAGCATAATAACTTAAATATATCAGCTCCAATCAAACTCGTTCCATTTCTGTAATGGTAATAAATCCCATAACCCTTTGCCGTCCCTTACTAACCTATGGCGAATGAATGAGAGGAGTCAACGCCCTTTGTATCTTGACTTGGTACTCTCGTGCTACTGTTTGTGTTAGAGTTTATTTACAACATAAAACATTTTATTTCCTTTGAGAACTATTTTCGTATTGGAAGCAACAGTTTCTGAGATTTTCAGGGAAATTGGGTGAACAAAACATTCTTGCATTTGTAATCAAATATTTATAAACTTTGTTTCATTAATTTTGTCTTAAATGTTTATCTTCATTGTTATGCTGTTGAATATAATGATACGTTAACCTTTTACATCGTGAATTCGTTGCAAATATACTTTTAAATGTTAAAACACTTTCGTCAAGGTAACAGCAGACGCTTACGAATTCGCTTTATAAACAAAAACAAGATCGTTTTCGAGCCCGCGCACCGGCGACCCCACAGGCCCACATTGCGCAGAAGTTGCTAAAAATTAAGTTATTACAATAAAAATGAGTAAAAATATATAATTACCAGCTCCAAAAACTTGATCAGGGACAATCTACTGATGGCCATTGTGAATCACTTGGGATTTTTTAATACCGCGATGTTTATTTGAAGTAACACACTGACACGAGCGCGCCAACTCAAGTCGCCACTGAGACTGCGCTGTGAGCCGCGTCGAGTAGAAACGATGAGCTCATACTGCTGTGGCCATCGAGTTTATCAACGTAGGACAGTAATAAACGAACCAATAAAAATCTTACCTACCACATGGCCTAACCACGTACGAACGTGGCCAAGGATTGAACCTTGGGGTACGCCTTTGCTATATTTTCTGCTAAATTACTTTGTATTTCCAGATATTCTCGCGATAGTTTTTGGCAAATACAACAGTGAAAGTTCCTTAACTTTCACTGTTTATATGATTTTTTATTTATATTTGCCTATGACGCAATTAACTTTAGTTCTAAATATCAATTTATTAAACTGTCTCTATTAACATTTTTCTGACTATAAAAATGAAGTGATGACAAACAACAATTCTAATTGAGTACAAAAATAGCTTCATAAACTTAAAGTTCATTAATACACGACAACTTTTTGTAAGACGAGAACAATTGTATAAAATTGAGCTCATGGCCACATTACAATCGTAGTTTTACTCCTTATCCTGAGAACATGATGTCATCTACTCCTGAATCGATATTGTGTGCGTTTCTGTCAAAATGAGGGATACCGAGTTGTGTACAAAAATAAACGGTATAACGCACTCTTTTGGAAATAACAGGAATAATTACGATAGTGTTATCAATGCTCATGTTAATTATACATGTTTTAACGTAGGTAAGTGTTGGATAAATTGTTTATTATTTAACTTGTAACTTATTCAGTTTAATGTGTCTATCTACGAAATTGATTATTATTTAAGTTTATATTAATGAGGAAATTAAATGTTAGAACTTAACTTTATTTCATTGAAAAAAATATTGTTGAGCCAGGACCATTCTGCTAATACTACCTAATATTTAAAAATTATAGATACCTATGTATATCTCGAATTGAGGTATGGTTCTTTGGTCCCCAGATTGTGGATATAGCTTTTTACGACCTACCTACCTACTAGAAAAACCAAAATCATCAATTCATTGAAAATTCAACGAAATCAAATACTTATGTGCATTGTATTGTAAGTAAATATTTTTCATTAAAAAAAAAACATTTCCATGACCATTAAAAAAAAATGTGTAAAATATATACTTATATCAATATTACACCTTCATGTAGGGTTAACACAATCTCGCTTTTTTCTGGAATAAGCCGGTAAATGAGGAGACAGTTGACCTGATGGTAAGCAATCGGCGCCGCCGCCCATGGATACCCAAAACACCAGAGGTATTACAAGTGCGTTACCGTCACCGACCTTTGCGGGAGGGGGCTTATTGTGTTACCGAACCTCACTCATACGACAATACACAACGCAAGTGTTGTTTCACGTCGGTTTTCTGTGACGCCGTGGTATCACTCCGGTCGAGCCGGCCCATTCGTGACGAAGCATGGCTCTCTCACACTTATTATGTTCTCTCAATGTTTACGTTTTAATTTATTGTATTGTAACGTGAACATTCGCTTTGATGACTAATAGAAGCAGTCATTCGCATTGTTAACATTTAACTACCACATAACACGTAATATTTATAAATAGAGTACCTACTACGAGTACATTTAGTACTGTGATCAAAACATAGTATTTCACGGTCACAGAATCCAAAATAGTTGCCTACGACATACATGACATCATATCGCATCGTTCTACGAAATCATTAAGGTATAAAAAAACTTTTGTATGTACCTACTATGTTCCGGTTTTATTATGATACTAGTTCCAACCGGTATTAGATAATTCTCTTTATGTGATCAACGATTCTACGAAAATATAGTACCTAGTTTTTATTTTCGGTATAAATTGACTCTAACATTTGTGTTCAGGAGACATCATTATCTACGCACAATAGATTATGTACAGAAACATTTCAATAAGTAGATACTAAATAAGTATCTAAGGTGCAATATCACAATAAGTATCTATACAAAATTACACATGCCGTTTATCTATCGATAATCGATGTGCATTTAAATATTCCATTTTCAATGTCATGTTTGATGGCAACATTCTCACCATTTTCAAATTAATTACTGACTGCTATGGGAATGCCGTCTGCTTGCATATTCCAGTAGCAAGAACATCAATTCACACCTTTATTTATTGTTCAAAATGCATCGATATTGATAACTATTATTACGATTACCTATCATAAAAGCAATCGTAACAAACTATGTTACTAAACTAATTTAAAGGTTTGAAATTCATTTAGGTATAATAACAATAGGTAGGTATATAAAATTGAAAGATGCACAGCAGCACAAGATTTTAATACTTATACGTAGGTGTAGTTCAGTGCATCTTATAAAATGATTTAAGAGGTGAACCTCTTATTTCATCTTTACAGGTCAAACCTATTGTAATAAGAATGATGACAGTGTATAAAAATTAAACATCTATTTAGTCCAAAATATACTAAAAAAATACCAAAAAGAAAACGCAACTACACTGCCTGATCCAGACACCAAGAAAGGCA